TCCCCCTAGTCCAATTCGGACTAGGCCTTGGGGGGGCGCGCGGCCTGCCCTAGGCAGCCCCTCTCTCTTTCCCGTATGGCCCAATAAGGCCCAATACTTCTTCCGGCGAATTCCCGTAACTCTCTGGTACTCCGAAAAATACCCGAATCACTCGGAACCTTTCCGAATTCCGAATATAGTCGTCCAATATATCGATCTTTACGTCTCGACCATTTCGAGACTCCTCGTCATGTCCCCAATCTCATCCGGGACTCCGAACTCCTTTGGTACATCAAAACTCATAAACTCATAATATAACTGTCATTGAAACCTTAAGCGTGCGGACCCTATGGGTTCGAGAACTATGGAGACATGACCTAGAACTGTTTTCGGTCAATAATCAATAGTGGAACCTGGATGTTCATATTGGCTCCTACATATTCTACGAAGATCTTTATCGGTCAAACCGCATAACAACATACGTTGTTCCCTTTGTCATCGGTATGTTACTTGCCCGAGATTCGATCGTCGGTATCCAATACCTAGTTCAATCTCGTTACCGGCAAGTCTCTTTACTCGTTCTGTAATACATCATCCCACAACTAACTCATTAGTTGCAATGCTTGCAAGGCTTAAGTGATGTGTATTACCAAGAGGGCCCAGAGATACCTCTCCGACAATCGGAGTGACAAAACCTAATCTCGAAATACGCCAACCCAACATGTACCATCGGAGACACCTGTAGAGCACCTTTATAATCACCCAGTTACGTTGTGACGTTTGGTAGCACACAAACTGTTCCTCTGGTAAACGGGAGTTGCATAATCTCATAGTCACAGGAACATGTATAAGTCATGAAGAAAGCAGTAGCAACATACTAAACGATCGTGTGCTAAGCTAACGGAATGGGTCAAGTCAATCACATCATTCTCCTAATGATGTGATCCCGTTAATCAAATGACAACTCTTTTGTCCATGGCCAGGAAACTTAACCATCTTTGATTCACGAGCTAGTCAAGTAGAGGCATACTAATGACACTATGTTTGTCTATGTATTCACACATGTATCATGTTTCCGGTTAATACAATTCTAGCATGAATAATAAACATTTATCATGAAATAAGGAAATAAATAATAACTTTATTATTGCCTCTAGGGCATATTTCCTTCATCAGCATCACTAATTAAAAGGGTTTGGGGGGGCAAGTGTTGGGGGTGGCATGGGCCAAGGTGTGATAGCCTAGCTTAATAGGGATGATAGATTACTCATATCAATAAGGAATTCCTTCTTTTCCGGGGGTCCATTCGGAAAGAACTCCAAAGTTAAGCGTGCTCAGCTTGGAGTAATTTCAAGATGGGTGACCGACAGGTCAGTTGATCCCGGGTGCGCATGAGTGAGGACAAAGTGCACAGAAAAGACTAGTATTGATCTGTGGGGCCAGTCTACCTACATCCCGCCAGGAGTAACGACCAACGGCGAGTGTTTCTGCGGCGTTACAAGTTGGTATCATAGCCGATCCTCGTGGTTACACGGATGTTTGCGGACAGGCGCGCGGTCATGTTGTTCATGACGTTTGTGACCCGTCGTGGCACACAACATGGCACATGTACCGAACTGGATGCACAGACGTATGTGCCAAGAGGGAACGTTCCTGTGGTCCGACGAGGACGTCAGTTCCTCTGAGTGGGGGTGTATGTGATAGCCTGGCTTAATAGGGATGATAGACTACTCATATCAATAAGGAATTCCTTCTTTTCCTAGAGCCCATTCGTAAAGAACTCCAAAGTTAAGCGTTCTCAGCTTGGAGTAATTTCAGGATGGGTGACCGACTGGGAAGTTGCTCCCGGGTGCACATGAGTGAGGACAAAGTGCCCAAAAAATACTAGTATTGATCTGTGGGGCCAGTCTAGATCCCGCCAGGAGTAACGACCACCAGCGAGTGTGTCTGGGCGTTACACAAGGGGAGGCGACAAACCAGCCCACCAAGGGGCTGTGCGCCCCCCTCACCCTTCCCCTAGGGTAGCCACCCCCTTTGCCTTGGGGCCAAGGCTCCCGGGGGTGGAGGCGCACCAAAACCCATCTAGGGTTTCCTCCTGGTGGCCTCCTGCCCCCCCCCCCCAGGGAACCCTAGTGCATCCCTCCTCCTCCCTTCCCCCTGTGTATAGAGGGGTAGAGGGAGGGAAGCCGCACCCATCTATGCCACGACGCTGCCCTCCCTCTCCCTCGTAGTCCTTCTACTTCTCTGTGAGGCTTTCCGAAGCCCTACTGAGATTTCTCCACCACCACCACCACCACGCGTGTCGTGCTGCCGGAGGACTCGAGCTACTACTTCACCATCACTCGCTGGATCGAGGAGGTGAAGGCATCATCAAGCCGTATGTGTATTGAACGCGGAGGTGCCGTCCGTTCGGCACTTGGATCGGGAGTTCGTGGGACGGATCGTGATTGGATCGCGAAGACGTTCGACTACATCAACGCGTTTCTCAACGCTTCCGCTTAGAGATCTACAAGGGTATGTAGATGCAATCTTTCCTCTTGTAGATGTTCATCTCCTAGATTGATCTTGGTGAGCGTACGAATTTTTTTGTTTCCCATGCAACTTTCCCCAGCAGCAACATGGTTGTGCATTTTTGGTCCTCTGGACCCAGTTTCGACAAATGAAGATTGCCAATCTCGGCTTTGTCATGTAGCATGTGAGGTGTGTTTTCCCCAATTCTTCCTGACTGGACATGGGGGGCCTTTTCTTCTCAGTGGCAGTGATTTGCTTTGTACATAGAGCCCACCAACGTCTCTTGGTTTGTATCGACGACTTCTTGAACACTACAACATGTTTGCCTAGCTCCGGTGGTGATCTATAATTCTAAAGGTGGCAGCAAGCTCTGCTCACAGCACAACATCGGTGGATGCAGGAGGGATGAGGTTTCGGAACCCCCGAGGATTTGGATGCAAGTCTTTAAGGGTGTGCTTGTAAATAAGGATCTGGTTTAATATGTGGATGTTGTCCTTTTCTAGAGAGAGAAAACATCTTTGAGATTGATGCAGATATATAAGAGCACTTTTGCTATTTATTAGGTGCGCGGGAGAGGGAGGTTGTCGACGTTGAAGAACATGAGGTCAGTGTGGTTTAGAGGGATGGCCTTGGCTGAAGGTAGCACGGTATTGGCGGGCGCTCATGTGCATCGAGGAAAACCCTAGATCTGGGTCTCCTAGATTGGATGATGGCAGACTTTTGTGACATTCTCCCTCCCGGGGGCATTGTTTTGGAGCAGATTCTAAATGGAGGGGCCAACATGTGGAGTATTGTTACATCTACCGTGTTGAAGACGACGGTTCTCGACAATGTGATGCAGTGGAGTCTTGGCGTTCGATGCTGGTTGATGGACGCGCGCAGACTGGTGGTGTTGTCTGGCGTCATGGTGATGTCGATGGCAGTTGGGTCTGGCAAGATCAATACGACGATCCCTCCTAAAGATTGGACGGTGGAAGATGGTGGCGGCAGATCCTAGAGCGTGCACATGTGGTGCATGTTGTGGGTCAGCTAGATCGGTTGGTGCTCTTGGCTCGCCGTGTGTGTTGATGCAGTCAGGGCACATCATAAACCTTGGATTGATTCTTGTGTTTATTTTGTCCGACTATGTTGAATAACATAATAAAAATGATTATGTGCATCGCTCGACACAGAGGCCCGAGTTATCCTCTTTTTCAAAAAAAATGTGCCTCTCACCGCGTGGGGGTGGGGGCTGTTAGGCCGGTTGTTCTGGCATGGGCATCGGGAAGAAGATGGACAAGATTTGTGGGGGGCTGGAAGGTTGAAGAAGGCGGGGCAACCGTTGGATTTAATCCAACGGCCCACTCAAATTGACTGATATTTTTGTCTTCAGCTAACCGTTGAATATATAAGAGCAGGTACCACACTACCAGTGCCACCTGAGCTTTGCTAATGCTGAGAATATGTGCTCATATATTGGAAAATTGCTAATGGAGCTCAAGCTCCATGCAGCCCAAAATTTGGAAAAACTAATTGGAGCATAAAAGATTCTGATTTTTTTCACGTGTACATAGGGATGTTGTCTACAATTGTTCAAAGTTTCATGATGAAATATATTATGATGTGAGATACAAAAAATAAAATCATGTATTTTTAGCGCATGCACTTTTCACTATAAAGGATCAATTTTCAGACGAAAAACTATGAAGTTCATGGTTTTATCGTTTTTATGTAGATTGTCTAACAACATATTTCATCATGAGAAACACACTTGGAGACTGCATGCCTATGTACATGTGTTTTTTTTTCAGATTTTGTTTTTCAAACTTCAAAATGTGGTTTTTCAACTTTTCGAAATTTTGGGCTCCATGGAGCCTGGAGCCTAACAACAATTTTGCTATCTTGTGTTTGATAGAGATGCATTTATTTATCGGATGTTCCATTACTTAGGCAATTGAGAATTTTGTTTGTGTCAGTTGATTCGGTGGAGTAGCAGCGGCATAGCCCTGAGGCCAAGACGGGGAGATCGTGGCGTCCCTCACAAGTCCTCATCGGTACCTCGAAGGAGGGGACGACGCAATTTGCCGTTGCATCTTGTGGCGGTCGCCAACGCCAGGGTTCGAGGCGGGATTTAGAGGAAAAAAGCGAGGGCAGCGGCAACACGATAGAGGCCGAGGTGGTGGCAAGGGCAGGGTGGGATCGCAATGCACACGCCGTGTCGATAAGCGGTTCGCCCGGCATCGGGCAGTGCGGTTCAAGGAGGAAGAAGTGCGCGGAAGGAGGAAGATGGAGCTATAACCGTTGGATTTCCTTCCAATGACAGGGGCAGATTGACTCAAAAAAAAAAGGCAACTCAACCACAGGTAGTTCCTATAAATGAGAACATCACTAAACGTTCTTGAAATTCGTGCAAGTATATTAGAGCAGGTACCACACTACCAGTACCACCGGACTACCGGAGCTTCCTGAGTCACGAGCCCAGCAAAAACCATGCTCCCCTGACATCATCGCCGTACTGGCCGGCGCCAACCATGGCGTTGGGGGGCAGCACGGTCGCCGGTCGCCGTCGCCACGTGCTGCTATTCCCGCTGGCGTACCAGGGTCACATCAACCCCATGTTCCGGCTAGCCGGCATCCTCCACGCCCGCGGCTTCGCCGTCACCGTCTTCCACACCCACTTCAACGCCCCGGATCCATCCCGCCACCCAGAGTACCGCTTCGTCCCCGTCCCCGACGGCATGTCCGGCCCAGCACCCGTCGCTATCGAGGACGTCGTCTCCCACATCCTCGCGCTCAACTCCGCGTGCGAGGCGCCCTTCCGTGACCGCCTGGCCGCCGTCCTGGAAGAGTACTCCAGGGACGCCGTGGCGTGCATCGTCGTCGACACTCACCTGCTGTCCATGGTGGAGGTGGCCACGAAGCTCTCCGTGCGCACCCTCGTCCTCCGCACTGGCAGCGCCGCCTGCCTCTCGTGCTTCGTCGCCTACCCTCTCCTCATCAAGAGAGGCTACCTCCCTGTGCAAGGCACGTAGCATAATCCCCACGTTTATCTTTTGGATAGATCGACTGACCCTGGTTTGTTGCAGAGTCGGAGCTGGAGACGGAGGTGACCGAGCTGCCGCCGTACCGGGTGCGCGACCTGATGCAGCTCGGCAGGCGCCACGACCTGACGTGCAAGCTGCTAGAGCGCGTGGTGGGGGCCGTGAAAGCGTCCTCCGGGTTAATCCTCAACACTTTTGACGCGCTGGAGCGGCGGGAGCTGGTGAAGCTCCAGCGTGACCTCGATACGCCGGTGTTCGACATCGGCCCGCTCCACCTGTTCTCGCCCGCCGCCGCAGCCGAGAGCAGCCTGCTGCGGCAGGACCGGAGCTGCCTGAAGTGGCTGGATGCGCAGCCAGCGGCATCCGTGCTGTACGTGAGCTTCGGCAGCCTGGCGTGCATGTCAGCGCGGGACCTAGTAGAGACTGCGTGGGGCATCGCCGGCAGCGGCGTGCCGTTCCTCTGGGTGGTCCGGCCGGGCCTTGTAGCCTCGGACGGGCTGACGCGGCTGCCGGACGGGTTCGAGGCGGCGACGAGCGGGCGCGGGATGGTGGTGGAGTGGGCGCCGCAGGAGGAGGTGCTCCGGCACGCGGCCGTGGCCGGGTTCTGGACGCACGGCGGGTGGAACTCGACGACGGAGAGCGTGTGCGAGGGGGTGCCGATGCTGTGTCGCCCGCACTTCGGCGACCAGATGGGGAACGCCAGGTACGTCGAGCACGTGTGGAGGGTGGGCTTCGAGGTCGCCGGCGCGCTCGAGAGGGGCGGCGTGGAGGCCGCCATCCGTCGGCTCGTCACTGGGAGCGAGGGAGCGGAGATGCGGGCCAGAGCCAGCGAGCTGAAGAAGGCGGCGAAGGAGTGCACCGGCGAGGCCGGCTCGTCGGCCCTCGCCATCGGTAAGCTGGTCGATCACATGCTGGTACTAGTACTGTAGGACGTGACCGTACGCTCATTAATGTGCCTCTTGTGCTATTTTATGTCGTTTTTCAATGTGTTCAACGGTGTCAGTTCGAATCTCTGTTAATTAAGTACTCCGATGTAAAGAAATATGATAGCTTTTAGATCATTCGTGAATGATCTAAACGCTCTTATATATATCACTAAATGATCTAAACGTTCTTATAGTTCGAAGGGGTATTTATAAGTCAGCCTTCCCTTTGGTTCTCAAGTGTAAATTACAAGGAAATTTACGCATTTGTGTTTTATATAAGTTAGGTGTGGGACGAACAAGTTGATGAGGTTATTTGTATGTGTTCCAATATTCGTATGGTTGACGCCATTCTGGCATAATCTTGTGCTGTTGTCATGCATGATTCAGACTTCCTATAAATAATTATATACTCTAAATACTCGTGATACATGTTGAGAAGACTCGTGATACATCTGCGAAGACTTCATACTAGATGACAGTGGGTTCAAACATTGGGTATTTCTGTGTTTTGTGCTGTCATGCATGATCCACACTCCCAATATATAATAGCATGATTTTGTAAGGTATTCATGATGCTTAATGCTAAGACTTCATGCTAGTTGGCAGCCAGTTCAGAAAAATGGTGATTTCGAGGAGTACCGGAATATCGGCACATACCGAGAATTCAGACTGGATTTTGTTTTCATTCAAAATTTTGTTAGTAATTATTTTAGGATAAAGTAAGCATATCTCATTACAAAATTTGAAGTTTGTGAATATTTGCCTGACTGAGGATGTTCCATTACTTCCAAGTCAAGCGGATATAATCTGCCTTTCTGCCCGTGTCACAACTAGTCATACATTTTCATGTAAAATTTTTTAATTTGAAAACTTGTGGCAAGACGAAGCTCTTAAGAGTTCTTTCTCTCAAAGGATTTTCATAGTAATTTTAAGGAAATATAATCCCTACTAATTTTTACTACGTCAGTTGTTCGACTCGTATTACTGTAAAGATTTCTTTTTGGTAAGGATATTTTTTTTGCGAGAGTTTTTTTTAATCTATTCATCATCTGTCATGATAGTACAAGGAACGACATAAGTAACAAAAAATACACAAAGTCCTGAGGACATATAGCGACGACTACAAGGACTGGAGCGAGTCAATGACATGCCGCTATCATCACCCCTCCCTTGATGGAGTCGAACAAAACTTGTTGTAGTACACAGCCAGAAAGTCGTGGTGCTAAGGTCCCACGTGACCAACACACCTAAACAACAACCATCGATGAAGAGAAGCATGGATCAAAAGAATCAAATCAGTAGACAAATGACCGAGGACAAACGAATACTGGATCCAAAATGATCCACTGAAAACCTGAACCGGTCGAATCACATGAGATCCATTGGAAACACACCATCACATGCCATCCGACGACGCTAGACCCACCATGGGAATCGAACACGGGAGACATTATTCCTACTAGAAGACATCACCGCCGCCACATAGCCCTAACCGAAGCACTGGACCAAACAAGAACGAGACCGGGTTCCCTTCCGCCGGCGAGCGGTTGGGGTCCTCCGCACTTCCATGGCCTAAAGGCCATCAGAGGCGGGGCGGACCAAAGACTGCACCGACGGGAGGATGGGGAAACCCAAGTCGCCTCGGTGTCGCCTCTTTCCGTAAGGATCCTTTTACACAACATTTTATAAAAATATTACACCCGCTCAAACCTCACAAAATAGTCCCTTGGTTTTTCCCGTGAAGCAATCAAATAACAAAATTCTTGTGGGATTTGAATGCACGTGACATCTCGACCCTGTGAAATTTCTTACTCCAAAGAGGGCCGTAAGAATTAGCTATTGCCAACTCAAAAGAAAAGGATTAGCTGCTGCCCATGGAATGGAAGGATATTTTTATACAAGTTCATCCTCAGGACCTCAAGTTGAGTGCATGTACGTGTATGTGAGCATATATGATTGTACTGTGTTAAAAAAGGTCGGCAAGAACTTGGAACTGAGATGCATCACGCGTGCATGAACAAGCAGGACTGGCCATACCGAAGGTGCGATCATGATCTTATCCCTTTCTCATCGCAGGGATCATGATCTTATCCTTAACTTCCTGGTGCATACGTACACCAACGAACCCAGCAAAAGCCCTCACCCTTATTTGCAATAATATATCGCGCACAGAGTGATGCTCACGCACGCACGCGGTCGGGCGTTCCAGAATGACGTGATCGTGTCTGCATATACAGCGTGCCGTACCCGGCGAGGCCACGGGATGGTGGTGCCGTTCGGATGAGGGCTTCGAACACGTCAAACCCTAGCTAGCTGGTCCGTAGTGGCTATAGTACCTCCGACCTTCAAGCCGGCTCTGTGCATGCATAATTGCATACACGCGGTCAAGTCCTCTGGTCTTTTTTTTAGAAATATATGTACGTCTTCTAGAGACTTGGCCCACATCCAAACGAGTCAAGTTCAAATGAGCTAAACTTTTTTTAACATCAGTACACGCGCAAGCGCTCATACATACGCGAACGCACACACGCGCATCCTACCCCTATGAGCACCTCCGAGAGACTGAGCCGGCATGTCATCTTGAAATTTACGAAGTCACTGTAGGCGCCTCGTCGTCGACGGGAACTTCTCCTACCACTACAAGCGCATCGCCGGAAATTCAGAAATAAATACACAAATAATGCGAGCACCATGATTTGAACCCTGATGGGCTGGGGATACCGCTGTCCCTCTAACCATTCAACCACATGTTGGTTCGCTCAAGTGAGCTAAACTGGACAGTGAGCACAACCTGAGTTATAGGTAGACCGAGGCAGCAGACCTACTAGTAGAAAGAAAATGACAACTCGCCGTATACATCATCGTGTGTGAAATAGGGGTGTCACAAATATTTAAGATGATGAACCAACCTGTGGTTGAGATGGTTAGGTGGACAGTGGTATCCCCAGTCCACCAGGGTTTAATTCCTGGTGCTCGTATTTATCCTGGATTTATTTCAGGATTTTCGGCGATACGCTTTCAGTGGGAGGAGACGTTTCCGTCGACTACGAGGCGCCTACGGTGACTTCGTAAAGTCTCAAGATGATATGCCGGCTCAGTCTCTCGGAGATGCTTACAGGGATAGGGTGTGCATGTGTGCGTTCATAGAGATGAGTGTATGCGCGTTTATATGAGCGCTTGCTTCCATACTGTGTTAAAAAAACAAATATTTATGATGTATTAGTGTTTTTAACACTATTAACAGATCCGACAGTCAAGTTGGAGGCACGCCCCGATGAAACCTCATAGTGGCGGACCTAAAATCGTAGCACTGAGGCGCCAAGTAGTGCAATTTGATTTAAATATCATCTTAATCCTAGCAAATACTACTCCTCAATAGCATTAAATATTTGTGCGATTAGTGTCAAGTATTAAGAACTAGATCACACTTTAGAGGGGGGTGTCATCGCACCCATAGCTCCCCAACTAGATCCGCCACTACAAACTCGTAGCTATTGTGCCAATCAGTGCTATTGTAGTCACCTTCAATGAAGGAACACGTCGCTATGGCCCTTGTTGCCTAGCGCATGGCTATGTGGGTATACCCTCGGACCTAGAGATCGAGTTGCTCAGTTGGCTTATCCTAAGCATGCAATGATTTTGACTAATCTCGAGCCACTTCCGAGCTATATAAGAGATTGAGACTTTCTGATCCACAATCTATTTGTCATGGCATGTGAATTTTTCATGGTCATCTACTTCTATATGTCTCTTTGCATGTAAATTTTTAAATAATAGCACTTGTACACAACGTAATAAAATGAATAATTGCAAACATACACGTTGCACATACATATATCACACGGTCAAGTCCTTGGATGAAGATTGGGTTGCAGAGGTGTCACGTTTACGCAAACTAGACTAATCTCTCGTAGTAAGAAGGCGAGCAAGCTCAGTTTGAGTCGACCTACTCCCTCTATATGGTAATATAAGTCTGGCACGGAAACTTAGCTTGTCAATTTAATTAGCAAAACATACATAATATATGCCATTAAGAATATATATTTAAAATACTTCATTGAGACGAATCTACGAATATGTTTATACAACATATTTTCGCTAATCAAACCGAAGACCTAAAAGTCTATGTCCACTTAAATTTCCGCAGAGTGAGTAGTAGCTGCCTAGAGATGGACTGTCACAATTGGCTACTTGGCATGTGACCTAAATTTAGAGAGGGAGTAGTAATTTAGACAGTTGAACCAGATGAAAGATTGAAGCCACTTGTTAAGCTGTGTAGAGTTTCATGGAGGTTTACTTCCATACGTCTGTTTGCACGTAAAGGTCGAAGAATCACTCTCTCATGTATGCAAGCAAATTACATGGTGCGTTTGGTTTCTTGCACCCTTTTTGTGTTTCCTCGAAGCCCGGGCAGTTTAGCATGTTTAAGGTAATGTAGGCTTTGGGTCATATTCTTCGTCATGTTTGCTTGTGTGCAAAAACTTAACCTACATCCTCCCCTAGTGTAAATTGCACTACAACGCCCGATCAAAAAAAAAAAATTTGCACTACAACGGGCATGCATCTGAGAAAACGGACAATTCGGGCGTTCCTTCAGAGCCTTGCTGTGGCTGGGTTGCTTTGAGGTTCGTATCATGCAGTCATAACGAAGCACGCAAATAAGCAAAAAAACGAATCTTCTCGCTCCAGAGCATGTATGCAACATTTGATAAGTACTTTGAATCGTATATGTGGGCAATCAAACACGTGCTCAAAGAAAGAATTGTTGATAACTAGTTCAAGCCATAGTCTGAACCAGATATATACTAGCGAGGGAAGGCTCCTGACCCCTGCGTCGCCCCCCGCTCGGGCGACACGGCTGGTACTTTAACCCTAGCCGCCGTCGGGGCCGATTTCCCTCCCTCCCTTCCTCCCGCCGCCGTCGGAGGACGCTGCCGGCCTGCGCCCGGTGGTCGATGGCGGTGGCAGGCGTTCTCCTCGCTCCCATGTCTCAGGGGCGGTGC